GTATACAAATATGTATTTGTAACAATAAACCGAAGATGTTGAAGAATGTCAGAAACAGAAAGAGTGTCAGGTCCCGTATCCGTAGTCCATTCCCCTGCACGGGGTCCACGGACCAGCATACGAAGAGCAACACCCGATGAGCGTGTCTGTGTATGCTGCCGTGCCTGTGCAAGAGCGTAGGCATGCGCCTCATCAACGRCATTAGCAACATTGTCAAGAATTCGTTGATGAGAAAGATTAGTATACATAGTAGTGAAATCAACTGTATGCGGGGCCAGACCTCTAAGAGAAGCTTTATTCTTTTTGAGGTCAAGCATGACCTCGTCACTGCTCTGAACAGTCCAACATCGTCGAATACCTTCGGTTCGAAAGAGTTGATTATCTTTTTCGCGAAGAGTACGGATGACGCCTTGAAGTGCTGTACTCAAACGAGCCGAAGTAGGCGTTAAAGAATAAAAAAATATATTTAGTATTTACACAATTACCTGAAATGATTACCTGAAATGACCAACTTCGCAGCTTCCATTCCGTTCAGCATTCCAGACATACTATGTTTTGTTTTTTTTTTTTTTTTTTCCCACCAAGTTCTCAGCTTTTGAAGAATAAAATTAATAACGACCTCAAAGAAAATCCAGGGCTAATCCAAACAGAACGTCGCAGTTACTCGGATTAATTACTATGCTCTCTACCAGGATTTCTCACAGGTCTGGATTTTCTTTTGGATGATTATTATTATTATTATTATTATGATGATGATGAAAAGCGGCTGCAGAATAGCGATACAGATCCTGCAACAGGATCCTGATACAGATGTGTACCTGTATCCTGGTCCACAGTCTGCACCTCGATCGTGATAGAGACACCGTAGCAGGATGCACGTCCGGACCTGCAGCTGTACTCTATGGCAGTACAGATTCTTTAGCAGGATCGTGATACAGATACTGGATTCTGGTCTGGACCAGGACCCTTGTCCAGATTCTGTATCAGGATCGTGGTAGATATACCGGATCCAGGTCCAGATTCTGTACCTTGATCGGGATAGAGATGGTGTAGCAAAACGGGGGGAAAAAAAGGGGCTATCTTTTCTCATTTGGAAATTAGTGTATTAAATACGAATATTTCCCCGTGCCAAAAGGGGGCGGGGGGGGGGGGGGGGGGGGGGGAGGGAGAACGAAGAGAATGTAAGCCCTATCACGATGACACGATGGCCAATAAAACAAAACGAGGGTAATGGCAACCCCATTAGAATAACCTGAGAGCCGTACCTGCCACACAGAAGAACTCGGTTCGGGGTTTACAGGGTTTTATCCCATCCCCTATCTGTCAAGCTCTTTAGGGACTGGCATATCATTTCGCTGAGAGCAAGACAGACAGAGAGAGGGAGAGAGGGAGAGAGGGAGAGAGGGAGAGGATGCAGAGAGCAAGACAGACAGAGAGAGGGAGAGGATCGAGATGCAGAGAGCAAGGGAGAAACAAGAAGAGGCAGAAAGGGAGTACACCGGAAAGATGAGTGAAAAATCTGTGGGGGGGAAAAAATACCAAGAAGAGCTCCTCCTGTTTCTCAACCATCATAAGTTCTTTCTCCCAGGCTTCATAGTTTCTCCTCTCCTCCGGAGTCATGCGCTGCTCCTGCACTTGCCACGTGTCAGTCCTTTGCAGACGATCCCCTCTCCTTTCTCCTCCTCTTGTACCCGCCCTCTCCCTCAACTCCCTTTGCCTCTGGTCAAGCGTCCTCCCTCCCCTGTCCGCGCTCCTGGCGCCCGTTGATCGACCCTGTCCCCCACCTCTCCTCAATGGCAGGTCAGTAACCATGTTGAGCTCCCGCATCCTCTCCCCTCTCCGCCTACTCCTCTGCTCACTCCCATTTGACACCCCGCCGGGGACTTCCGGCAAAACAAACCCCTCCATCATGCCTCCCGCCCCCGCTCCACCTCCTTTCATCCTTACACTTGTTTCTCGGCGCTTGAAATCCGGTGAGACGGCTCGTCGATCAAATCTACTTCCCCCACCCCCTCCAGCCCCTCCTCCTCCTCCTCCTCCTCTGCTGCTGCCTTTCCCGCTTTGGTCCATTTCTCCCGCTACCTCGATTCCTCCCCTGCCTACTCCCCCGCTGCCAGGGGAACGTAAGGACGCCGGCGAACCATCCCGACGCCCGGCGCCAATTTGGGAACCAGGAGACGAATTGCGAGAGGGAGGTGGAGCACCAGGGAAACTCCTCCCGCCGCCGGGAACCGCCTCCCCCACCCCCCTACCGACCCTCGATCTGTTCCCGCCAAAAGCCGACCCTCCCATCACCGTCCCCTGGCCGGGAATACGTCTCAAGGTACCGCCACTACGGTCCCCTAGAGTATCCCTACCTCCTCCTCCTCCTCTTCCCGCCGTTTCCGTACGGTGCAAGCCATTACGGTCCCCTAGCGTATCCCTACCTCCTCCTCCTCCTCTTCCCGCCGTGTCTGTACGGAGCGCTTGCTCCATATTCATCTTCGAGCCGCCGCCAAGCGAATATGCCGGTCGACGAAGGAGCTGGGCAAGGGTATCGCCGGGGGCGACCTTCTCACGTGGCGGCACAGAAGGGGAATAATCGACCACGTGGAGATCCGGGAGATCCGGGAGATCCGGAAGAGGAGGAGATGAAGCTGGGAGAGGACGGAGGTTGACTTTGGTTCCCGCCAATTTTTGCGCGCCTCGGGCGGCGGCGGCGGTCGTTCCCGCCATCTTTTCCTTGTGTAAATCACTACTTGTCTCGGCAATTCCCGCGCTTTCTCCTTCTCCTCGTCCTACGCTTGACAGACCCAGTTGCTTCTGCCCTCCGGAACCCTCCCCCCCTGACCGTCTCCCTCTCCCAGCGCCGTTTCCTCTTCCTGTTCCTCCAAGTCTTCCCGCCGCCCCGAACGTCACACTCCCATTACCATTACCCCCACCATCACCGCTCCCGCGGCCCGCCGCTCGAATCCATGCCCGCCCTCTTCCCGCCAACTGCTGTGCACCATCATCCCCCAGACTGCTGCCAATTCCCCCCAACAACGATTCGGTAAATAATTCCCCCCCTCCCTTCCCCGCCGACAGCCCATCTCCCAATATGGCGTCGACGACCGGGATCTGGATCCTGCCATTACCCCCGGCGAGGCTGCCACGTCGTACATCATTACCTGTCGCGACATCGCTGAGCTCCAAGCCGTGCGCATGGGCACTCACACTGGCTTCCCCTTCTCCTGCCCCTCCCCCTCCCCCTCCCCCTCCCCCTTCCCCTCCTCCCTCCTCCCTTTCTCTCTCCCTTTCAACAACCGCGCCATTATCTTCTGCCGCGCTCACAGCCAGCCCACAGGCGCGGTTCCACATAGCCCCCGTCGATCCATACTGATGACGAATTCGGCCAGCCGCCGCCAACACAGCGCCCACAGCGCGGCGCTCTCCGAGGAGCATCATCCCTCTCATGGCAGCAGCAGGAGCTGAGGAGGAGACAAAAGGGAATAAGAAGAAAGAAACCACAGTCCCCCCGGCTCTTCCCGCCCTATGGGGGGAGATGGAGAACACCTCGTTTCTCCAGCTCTCTCCAGTGAAAGGAAGAGGAGGGGGGGGGTGTCCGCCCCTCACTCGTCCTTCCTACTCCGACCCCAAACAAATTCCGAGGGCAGGTTGGGACCCAGAAATCAGTCGGCGAGGAGACCGCCAGACGGAAGGATTGGTGGGGAAACGGGGGAAGGGACGGGAAAAAAAGCAAAAACAAAATAAAAAACGCAAGAGAGAAGGAACCAGGTGTGAGACGGAAAAACACGAGATGGAACGAAGCCGGTTCCCCCCTGCACATCTTCTTCACAGGGTAACATTACCGCCATCAATCACCGGTTAACTTGACCGCCATTAATCAAATGTGTGTGTGTGTGTCTCTCTCTCTCTCTCTCTCTCTCTCTGTGTGTGTGTGTGTGTGTGTGTGTGTGTGTGTGTGTGTGTGTTGGTTCTCTCTCTCTCTCTGTGTGTGCGTATGTGTGTGTGTGTGTGTGTGTGTGTGTGTGTGTTTCTGTGTTTGTCCTCCTCGCGCCACGTTCCTCTGTTTCGGGGAACACCCTCTCACAGCGACAATGCACGCGCCCATTGGAACGTGGCGCGATAATTGAAAAGGCCAAACGCGAAAATTGGTGAGTGTATGGCCATCGCCACACCACTCTCCAAATGTGAAAAGAAAAAAATGTGGCGGGTGCATCTGGCGATGTTCTTTTTTTTTGGAAAGCTTTCATTTATATATTGCATAAACACTTGGGACGAGGCCGGGGACCTCACAATTCAACCGGGGTTATCCTGGCAGCCTCAGCCAGTTTCGCTTACGAGCAACGCTCAAAAAAAACCCTAGCTGCTACTGCTGGAAACCGGGTCCAAGCTGCGTGGTCTAAGCTGCCTACTATGGGTAAACTAAAGCTGGGCAAGGGCCCAGTGGCTGGTACACACCGAGTTGTTTGTTGAGGATTCGGCCTCAAAGTTCTGTTGGTGCTTTGATAATGGAATTTCTCGACCTTTTCCCGAAAAAGAAAAAAAAGGAAAAGAAACCGGGTCCACTATCCCAACGGAAACAAATCGCTTTCCAAAAAATTGAACCTTGAAGCACAGAGTAAAAAGTTAGCTTACTGAATCAAGTTATAGAACCCTGATGGCTCCTACTCGGTAGACTTCTGTAAAATTGTTGCCTATCGTCTGAAAACCAGTCTATCCTAAGGCCTGGACCCCACTGGCCGGCGCCTGGAAAAGTTGGCTGGCCGCGAAATGTTGGCCAATGCCGGTGGACAGTTTTTGGCACGTTTCTGCGCGACGCCACCGCGCACTGCTGGTGGGGTTTTGGAAACGGCCAGGCTTGCCGCATTAGGAAACCGGATAGGGGCCCCTCCCGAAAAGGAAAGTATGCATGGACCAGCGGACATGGTAGGCTCTCGGGTCGGTTTGTCCGTGCGTGGCGTCGCACACCGTTACCGGCACCGTGCGACGGTGTCGTACCAAATACCCTTACAAGGGTATTTGGCGTGTTTTCTGCAAGTCGCACCAGTGTGGCCTCGCCCGCTTGACGGCGCGCGAGCGGGAGGTAGTTTAGGTCCTCGCCCGAGTGAGTGGCGTGCGCTGGGTGTTGACGGTAAGGTGCAATCATGCGCAGCCTGGAGGTCCGCGGCGTCACGGGCAGCGGGACATGCGGCCCTTCGTTCCCCTACCTTTTTATATTTTCACGGTTACAATTATTTTAATTATTTTTCCTACTTCTAAATCTTGTTGAATGCCTCTGATTCGGTGGTCAGTTTCGGGGTCAACGTCGGGATTGACGGGCCTAGCCTGGTGGCTACGTCACCAGGTGGGGGCGGCCGATACAGCAGTCAAGGACCTTGACCACGTATTTCGTCGGGCCCGTTCGGGTTCCTACGTATTAGGATGCTGGCAAAATCCCCCCTACCCACCCGCCTTGAAAGTCAGACAGGGGAATTCAATGTGCATGTAGGCTAGTGGGTAATTAGCCACGAGGGGGAAAAGAAACCCAGGTGGCGTGGGTTGCCGCAGGTGCACCGGTCGCTGGCCATCATCTGCGGAAAGAGGTTTTAGTGTGAGCAAGCCCGGTGGGACCCGACAGATGAGACTGCGCCTGGGCGCAGTTGGCATGGGGCGCTGCCGGGAGCCCCGCTGCTGCAGTGGCGGTGTCGAGCGCATCGGCCCCCGTGTGAGCGAGGGCCCTCTCGGCCGCGTCACGCAGGAGAAACTTAGGCTTTCAACTTTTTAGAGACAACTCGGGGACGACACGGTAACCCGCGTCGACCCTTCGCCGCTCCGGCCGAGTGCGCCAGCTGTACATCCCGCGGTCCCCTACGACAGGATAGGTTTTCGCAGGGCACAACTTACCTTCCCTAAGGGGCTGTCACCACCCTTAGGGGCGTATCCCCGCCGAGTTACCGACCCACATGCGAAAGCTTTTATAATGCAATTGCAGAGGTAGGCCATCCGAGGGCGTTTGCTCGTTCGCTGTAGCATAGGTACGCATGGTTAAACGCCGAAGTGGATCCTACGTCGTCTGTCCCTGGGGCGCTGATCTCCCAGGAATCGGAACGCACGCCGGTCGACTAGGATGTCATATTCCAAACGTAAGGAAAACTTATAGCGATCCTAGTCCCTCCTTTTGAAGACAATCAAAAGTTACAAAATACTCGTGTCAACGCAAACTGAATTATTTTTTGAAATTGACACATTCATACATATCACTTGTCTGGGCTGTCACAACTTTTGCGACTTGATGAGGTGCGTTGCCAAGTTTTTTCATTCCACCCCATACCAACTGCTAGCCAAGAATGCAGACAAATCCCAATACTCGATTAAAGCTAGGATGCAATCGCACCAGTGATGACTATGCTCCCACTCTAACTTTGGTGTGAATGTCGTTTGCAAGTAGTCCGACTACCAAAATACGAGTCAGTACTCGACTTGAACAACCGAACACTGGATGCCCCATTAAGGTTAAGGATCCACTTTTAAATTATGTTGGTCGCTTTGTCCTCCTGGGCAACAATTACTCTTTATGTTTCATAAATGATGAAGTATCAACCTTCGACATGAAGATATTCAAGGCAATAAATACTCTATTCACATCTTCCCGTCAACTAGTCTGATCGCCCCAGGCTTACACTTCTTATGGTGCAACCCTATCCGCGAGGGTAGTGCCTGGTCGCACTCCGTCCATAGCTAGTGATCGCACGAACTGGGCTTCTTATGGCGTAAGCTCCCCACTCATCTGTGGCTCCTAAGACGGCCACTGAAAGGGTAAACTATAGCGGTTCTTCTTAACGTGAGCCGTCAAGAACTTAACGTCATCCGTGAATAACACACGTCCATCCCCTAGGAGGTGGACTGGGATACCCCTCGTCCTCGCACGATCGAACCTCGGATCTCATAAGTCAGGCTGGCTCCACCACGACAGCATGATATCCCCCCGCCTAAGCGGTCCACTCCGAGACGTTAACAGGGTCGGCCCCTAAGGCAACGAACCCCCGCCTCAGATGCCTCCTAGGGAAAGGAAATGCACTTAACACAGCAGACGGTCAACCCTTTTTTCGCCTGACGTCAAGAGCGAACCTAGACGAAGAAGGAGACCACAGAAAAAGAACCCATTCAGATGGACGGACATAGACAAAGAGGATCATTCGGGAAAGAATGGATAACCTCGGGAAAAATCTATGTCCAATTCACTTCTTCTCTTTTGTGTGATTGCTCCGTTCCTCGTCGTCTGCTGTCTTCCCATCCTTTCAACATGCATGCAAGCAAAAAATAAAAAACGATCACCCTTCCATTCACTTTCGTTGACACGATTACATCTTCATATTTCAAGCATCCTTCTACTTACCTGCACATGAGATCAAACAACAAATTCAAGAGAAAACAATGCAATCCCAAACTCATGTCAGACTTTCGGTCACATGTGCAAACAAACACAACTTCCCCTACCTTTCCAGTGAACATTCAAAGAACAGGGTCAAGCAAGTGTGGGTTCACACAGGTGTGAAGGGGTCTGAGTCAAACAGCTGACCTTGAGTAAAGTTGAAGCGGCTCACTCAAGAAAGCCTAATATTTTTGTCAAAAGACTGATCACACAACTCACGTTGTGGTCTGCTTACAAAAATAAACCATGCTCCTCTTCAAGTGCCACCACTGACCCAGGCGCCGCTTTTCAAGACAAAGCAAGCTTGCCGTCGAGAAGAGTACCCCCCACTCTCAAATCTTACACGGCCGCACTATAGTCTCAACGGCATACCTCCTACAAAGAACAGCGTCAGCTCAATCTCCACTCCAACCCCCACCGATTGCTAAGTCAGATCACCGCACGCCTCCACAATACTCATTTCCCGTCTCACTCCTCACTTACCTGGTCCCAGAATGGTCCCAGATAGTCCCACACCATCGCCGCAATACTTGGTGGTCCCAACTCAAACCCCTCTTGCCCAACGTGCCGTAAAAAAATTGGTCTCGACCAGCCTTTCAGGTGCCGCATGCTACTGGCAGCGTTTCCGCATAACCACCGTCGACCCCAATGCTGTCGCCGTAAAATTTCGGCAGCGCTTCCGCACTACCGCTAATAAAAGCACCGCCGTCGCCGTGCCAAGCGGACATCACCTCTTCTACAGACTTCAATGATGGATGCCGCCGCCAAAAAGCCATGCAGCATCTCCCCTACACCGTCAGCCGAACCCCTGCCGCCGTCGGGT